GGTCTCGAACCCACGGGCTCAGGCAATCCACTCACCTCAGCCTCCCAAAGGCGCGGGATTACAAGCTGAGCCACCAAGCCTGGCTGAACAGTGATTTTTATGCCGTGATTTGTAGGTTCTTAACAAAGACTCAGGAGCTAGACTCCCTCCAAATTGCTTACATTGGGCAAGTTATGTAATTTCTCTCAATCTCAGTTTTTGTATCCCTGCAATGCGGATAATACAAGAGATGGGCAGGAACAATAGTCTGCAAACTACAGATAGTAGGCCAAATCTGGCCTCCGGGCATCCTGTTGAGCTAGGAGTGATTGTTACATTATTAAAGGGTTGTCAAACAAAACCAAAGAATATACAACAGAGACCCTCGGTGCCTCCCTTCACACACACACAATCCTAAAATATTTACTATCTGATCCTTTACAGAAAAAGTTTGCCAATCCCTGGTCAAGAAGATTCAATCAGTGAATATGCTAAGTACTTAGAATAATGCCTGACATATGGTCAACACTGCATGTAATACAATCTATGTGTAGCAAGTCAGGCCTCGTGTATTTTTCCTGTACTCTTATTTGTAAATATGATATTAACCACCCAAAATAAAACTGAAGTCATTGAAATCTTGTATCATTTTCCCCAAACTTATAAATTCTGATAAGGTCATTGAAAAATACACACAGAAAAGTGTCTAAGGATTTTAAGGCTGGAAAAAATTGGGTTTTTTTTTTTGAGAATCAGATTGTCCACAAATCACAGTGAGATTTTATTTATCTTTTAAAATTATTTTATCTATTTATTTTTGAGTAGGAGTCTAACTCTGTTGCCTGGGCTGGAATGCAGTGGCACACTCATGGCCACCCCAGTGTCAACCTACTGGACTCCGGCGGTCTTTCCCCCTCAACCTTCCGAGTAGCCGGAACTACAGGCATGCACTACCACACCTGGTTAATTTTTGATTTATTGTAGAGACGAGGTCTTGCCAAGTTGCCCAGGCTGGTCTCGAACCCGTGGGCTCAGGCAATCTACTCGCCTCGGCCTCCCAAAGTGCTGGGATTACAAACTGAGCCAGCAAGCCTGGCCCTCACAGTGAGTTTTTAATTGTCAGTATATTATTACTTCCTCCTGTTCGTTCCCAAAGTGTCTTGTTGGGACCTGTTTTCCTGAGACTTCAAAATTGTCTCTTGAAGTTGGAGAACTAGTTCTTTGGTTCTTCCTGGAAAGTGAAGAATACTATATAAGACAAAGCTTATATTTTTAGTTAACAGATATGGGCATTTGATATGTAATAATAGATGAGATGATGTATATGAAATTGACTTGGCATTAGTTTGGTCCTTGAAGAAATTCCAATGAACTGTTTCAAAGAGGACAAGAATTTACAAATTGAGAAAATTGTTGTCTGCTGGACTCAGGCATTTATCCAGAAATATAAATAAATATAAATTCATGAAAAAGTTTTGATTATATCTAACTTCAGACTTCAGACTTATTTTTGGAGAGAAGACTATATTTATTAATATTTTTATTTTAAAATTTCCACATTAGCTTGGTATGGTGGTGTATGCCTGTAGTCCTAGCTACTCAGGAGGCCAAGACAGAAGGATCACCTGAGCCCAGGATGTCAAGGCTGCAGTGAACTGTGATCATGCCAGAGCACTCCAGCCTGGGCCATGGAGTAAGAGCCTGATTCAAAAAAATAATGAACAAATAAATAAAATTTCCAGTGACAAGAGAAAACTAAAACTAGAAAGACATATTAAAAATGACTTATGATTCTACCTGCAGGATGGGTAGTCCAACCCTGCACATTTTCTTTGAATCTTTGAATTTTAGGGTTAAACATTTATGGCACTAAATGATTTGCTCTGAGGCTGTGAATATTCCTCAGGTCTCCTTGAGCAGAGGAAGATGCCATCTGCCCTTTGACATAACTGGCCCGTTTGCCTTATACGCGTGTTAGCAGTTTGGCCCTCATTCCATCTACACTGCTGCTTTAGGAACGCAGTGATCTGTGGAGTCAAAAATGCACACTGGGATGGAAGCAAAAGCAAGAGTTTCACTTCCAGAAAGACCAGGCATGACATTCTGCAGTGCTCTAGCTCAGATGTAAGACTGAAGAATTTAAAATTCTGCAATCAGAGCACCTGCAAACGCTTCGCTTCCTCGTGCTCTCTACTGACTTTGAATCCAGAGACAAGAGACAGGATGCAGGGTCTGTGTAATTTGGTGGTGAGCAAGCTAAACTGAAGCCTGAGTTGGTCAAGACGTGCCTGTCCTCCTTCTTTCGCTCCTCTGCAGTCTCCTAAAGGGCCAATGAAGGGGACATTGGGTTTGTGACTAAGGGTCTTGATGTCCGTTAAAGTCTGCTCTTTGAGATTTCAGGCTGCTGCTTCAGGGTTTAGCCCCCAGTAGTGAAATACAAAGGACCCAGAGGAGGCTGGGTGAGGTGGTTTGCATCTGTAATACCAACACTTTGGGAGGCCAAGACGGGAGGATCACTTGAGCCCAGGAGTTTGAGACCAGCCTGGGCAACATAGCAAGACTTCATCTTTACAAAAATAAAATAACTAGCCAGGGCAACTTGGTGAGAACTTATCTCTACAAGAAATCAAAAAATTATCTGGGCATGGTGGCACACGCCTGTATTTCAGCTACTTGGAAGGCTGAGGTGGAAAGATCATCTGAGTCCAACAGGTCAAGGATGTGGTGGCCGTGAGTGAGCCACTGCATTACAGCCTGGGCTACAGAGTGAGACTCTGACTCAAATAAAATAAAATAAAAAATTTTCAGGTATCCTTGCCTCTCCATCACAGAAAAGAGTTTACAAGTTGAGAGAGAAAATGTATATAATGTTTAAAACTTTATAATCTTCTCTATAAAAGTCAATAGATACCAAAACTTGGAGAATTCTAATTTTCCAGAAATGTGGTAAAAAAACATTAGGGTAGTTTTATCTTAGGAAAAAGGTGTTTGAATTTAGGCTGAAAATCAGTTGCTCTGTCTCTGTGCCCCGAGTTACGTGCAAGGTTGTTACATGAATGAGAATCCACCCAGTGGCCCATGTTCATGCTCACTCCCAAACACTGAAGTACATATATTCTATCCTCTGGAGTAGTAGCATGGCCACCCTGTGAAAATCTTCCTCAAATAAGGACCCGTCTTTCCCCTTCCCTCCTGGGAGGTAAATCAGAGTTATCAGAAAAGCATATCATTTACAATTGCTATAGTTTAGAATTGCTACTTAGTCCTTTACTGCTGTTACACGTTTGGAGCTCAATAAATGGATGCTAAATTAACTGTTGAGTTTTCCTTTCTTCTCCATACTCAAACATCTTCCATGACACCACAAAGAGCAACATCTTCAAGAATGGTCCTCAAGCTATAAAGTAGCCAGCTTTAGAAAAACGGTCTACCGGAGAAACTCCAAGTCCTGATGAAATCTAATCTTTGGATCTCTTTCCAGATGTATATTTTGGGGGAGAGGACTATGTTTATTAAGTTGCCTTTTGTTGGTTGGTTGGTTTTGGTTTGGTTTTCTTGAGTCTGTCTCACTTTGTTGCCCAGACTGGAGTGCAGTGACACAATCATGACACAGGGCGGCCTCGACCTCCTGGGCTCAAGTGATCCTTCCCCTTCAGTCTCCTGAGTATCTGGTGTTACAAGTATACACTACCACACCCAGCTAATTTATTTTTATTTTTTATTTTTGTAGAGACAGTGTCTTACTATACTGTCCAGGCCCTCGCCTCCCAAAGTGCTGGGATTACAGGCATGAGCCACCATACTCAGCAAGATTTAAAAATTTTTAAAAACCCAGTGACAAGAGAAAAATAAAATCAGAAATAAATCACATTAAAACTAACTTAAGATTCTACCAAGGAGAAAGACTGAGAAAATATGAAGGGTTTTTGCTTTGTTCTGCTTTTGCTTTGGTGCTTACATAAATGTTCCCTGGCAGAAAAGCCAGATATAATCTCAAGGCAAAATCAGTCTCTCTCAAGAAATTTTCTAACAAAGGAGGAGGTGTTTTGCATACGGATGTTGAAAGGTAGGAATGTCAAGAAAATTAGAATAGAAGAACTTGGTAAAATCATTCTAGCAATAGTGCAGCCATTTTAACTTCAGCTCTAGCCCTGTCTCACTTTGCTGAGCAGTTGTGCTGATCATTAGCGAAACGCAAAACCGGCACGCCGGGGGTTAACACCTGGTCGTTCTTTAAAAGCTCCTTAAGTTTCTGCAGTCCTGATTCTTCTTCTCGGCATCTGTGTTTCTGGCCTTGCTGTATTATTAGTTTACCGGCACCAGCCTCCAGCCCACCACTGGAATCATGAGATTCCAGTGCCTGGCGATGTCAAGACACAAGACTTAAGTGATCTCTATGATCTACATCCAAAAAGTGCAACTTGAAACGTTCTCCTCAGCGCAAACTCCTCTTCAAAGCTTTAAATATAACCAGTTCCCCGGCCCTGGAGGCCGCACTCTCCTTCTGAGTGCCGGCCCCTTTCTGTCTGTGGAAAGTGGATAATGAACTTGACTTCTTTCTCTATTGCCGTCTTGCATTATTCCCGCGGCACCGACGCACCTTGCCTCAGTTTACCCTTTCAGATGTTAAACTTTTAAAGATTCGCATCCTCCGTGCTTTCTCCCCAACCTCTCATGGATTTTTTTTCTCCCAATACCAGCGCGGCATTGAGGAGACCGCGGCTGAGTGTCGGAAACTGGGGGCCACCGCGCATGCGTTTGTGGTGGATTGCAGCAACAGAGAAGCCATCTACAGCTCCGTGAATCAGGTGAGACTTCAGGTCGCCAGTGTCTTTAGGTGATTTTGTATCCACTGCCATTGATATGGAAAATAGAAACTTTCTTGATGACCACCCGATTTAAATTAGATTTCAGGCGCTGCTAACTGAAGTAGTGATGCGACCAAGGAAGAATATGTATTTTTTTCTTGTATATAATCCACCCATTATTACTGTTTCATATTATTAATCCATTTCATTCTAATTAGACCTTTGAGCAGCGGCACAGAATGACTAACAAAAGATGTATCGCCAGGGAAAATGGGTCACTTTCTAGCTTTGTCTCATTCTATTTGTTTTGCATTAATTCCTTTTTTTTCTTTAATTATACCCTTTATGAGATTGTATTTTGGGGAGGAGTTAATCAGGATCCAAGAAGTTAAGCCAGACCAAGGTCATGTACCTCCTATGTGGTAGAAACAGGATTACTCAATCAGCATTTTAAAAATATTTGGTCAAAAAAATTAAAATTAAAATTAAAATATTTGGTCAGAATTTATATAGCAACTTATCAACACAAATATCAATTTCACTTTACTGATGAACTTTCATCATTTATGATGTACTATGTACTGAAACTTAGATATTTTTAAAAAACTGTTTATCCCATCTTTGTGACAGTGTTCACTCTCCATCCACCATTCGATCTAGTTCCTTCCTGCTTAAACTTGGAGAGACCGCACCAAGTAAAATAAAGCCTCTAATCCCTGGAGGATATCAGCCCCAAAACTTTGAGCTTGTATAACACGCCCCATGAATGTGTTCTTTCCATTATAAAAGGTGAAGAAAGAAGTGGGTGAGGTAACCATCTTAGTAAATAATGCTGGGACGGTATATCCAGCTGATCTTCTTAGTACCAAGGATGAAGAGATTACCAAGACATTTGAGGTCAACATCCTAGGACATTTTTGGGTGAGTATGAGTCAGACAAATTTCTGATTTATGCCTGTTTGGCACCTCCTCTTAAGGTACATAAAACATAATTGAGGTTACTCACTTCTGGGCAGAAAACTAACCAGATCTTTGCCTTAAATTCAAGAATCATGAGATTTATTTGAGTAGTAGAGCCACAGAGTGTGACAGAAAGTCACACTGTCTTGTCCACCAGTTTCTGACACAAAGCCTGGCATGTACCCGGTGCTCAACAAATGTTGGTGGAGGTTTGTTGAGGGTAGTCAGAGTACACCTTTTCAATGTTTGGAGGAAATATAGATAGTGCACATATATTTGTGACCTCAATTCATGGAATTTGAGAACTGAACAGACATCAGAAATCATTACTCAGAGCCTAGGAGATTGAGACTGCAGTGAGCTGTGATTATGTCACTGCACTCCAGCCTGGGTGACAGAGTGAGACCCTGACTCAAAAAAAAAAAAAAAAAAAACCCAACAACAACAACAAAAAAAAACGGTGAGAAATAATTACTCAGATGTTTGCAGGGTAGGGAACCCTTCTGGGTGGGACTCTGAGACAAGTTCTAGATCCATGGGATGCTGGAATGGAGAAATGTGGCTACATAAACCACATATAATTGGTTAGTTTAATACATCAAAGCTGAAATGTCAATTTCAGCTACCTTGCAGAGAACATTTTTATGAGTTAGGCTGGGTGCAGTGGCTCACACCTGTAATCCCAACACCTTGGGAGGCAGAGGCAAGAGGATTGCTTGACCAGCCTGGGCAACATAGCAAGCTCATCTCTAATAAAAAAATTTAAAAAAAATCAAAAAATTAGCCTGATGTGACGGTGCACACCTGTAGTCCCAGCTACTCTGGAGCTGAGGCAGAAGGATTGCCTGAGCCCAGGAGGTTGAGGATGCAGTGAGCTGTGATGGTGCCATGCACTCCAGCCTGTGTGACAGAGTGAGACTCTGACTCAAAAAGAGAGAGAGAGAGAACATTTTTATGAATTAATCTTCCAGTGCTTCAATATTAATGTGGAACATAGCATGAATCTGGATTCTGGAAATGAGAAGAAAAAAAAGAGCTGCGTGCCTCTACCCACACCAGCCCCTCACACATGCGCATGTGGGTTTGTTATCATGTCCACCAAACTACACAGAGATCTCATATGTTAGTCATCGATAGCTGCATAATCAATTGTACAAAAATGTAGTGGTTTAAAGCAACAATAAATGCTCGTTATATTCTCTCATGACTTCTGTGGGTTAGAAATGTGGAGGTGGCTTGTGTTGACGGTTGTGACTCCATGAATTTGCATGGGGCCTATAGAGTGGATCTCTAAAATTCTCATACACTCTTATTGGTATTTCTTACACAACAGCTTTTTGTAGGAAAAGTCAGACGTTTTGTTTCCTGGACTATTAGCATATAATATACAATATTACAAATAGAGACACTGACTTTTCAGGATGCATAAGGATCGTGGGCTAGTAAAGATCTCTTATGGCCAGGCTGGGTGGCTCAGCCTATAATCCCAGCACTTTGGGAGGCCAAAGCGAGTGGATTGCCTGAGCCCGCGGGTTCGAGACCAGCCCGGGCAACTTGGCGAGACCTTGTCTCTACAATAAATCAAAAATTATCTGGGCATGGTAGCACGCACCTGTAGTTCTGGCTACTTGGAAGGCTGAGGCCAAAGGATCCCAGAGCCCAGCATGTTGACACCGGGGTGGCCATGAGTGTGTGTGCCACTGCACTCCAGCCTGGGCAAAAGAGTGAAACTCCAACACAGTTTATTGTCTCATTGTAAAAGTTCTCTCAAAAGTCATTCTGTCTTAACAGAAAGAAAACTGGGCTGGATTTTAAAAAGTGGTATGTATACATGATGGAATATTATGCAGCCATAAAGAAGGACAAAAGTATGGACTTGGCAAAACTTGGATGGATCTGGAATCTATCATACTCAGTGATCTATCACAGAAACAAAGAACTGAGTACCACGTGTTCTTACTCATAAGTGGACCCTGAACACTTATCATAATACTACAAGAAAGGGATTGGCAGTAGCTGGACATTGCCAGGGATATGAGGGCACATAACATAAATAAGGGGTGCATGATCCCAATCCAGGTAAAGTCCAATGGGAGACCCAAATTTCACCTGTACATAGACCACTTATGAACCCAATCCTGACTTGTACCCCAGATTTTTAAAATAAAAATACAAACATTTAGATTATTTAAAAAAGAAAGAAAGGAAACTACCTGATCTGGAAAACTAATGCCTATGTCATTGTTTCTCATCTTTTTCTCATGACCCCTAAGATTACAAAAGCTCTTCTTCCATCAATGATGAAGAGGAACCACGGCCATATAGTCACCGTGGCTTCAGTGTGTGGCCACACAGTGACTCCTTACCTCATCCCATATTGGTGAGTATGACTTACCGGCAGTGCTGTCTATTTTTGTGCTTTAAAAAAAGTATTAGACTGCAGATCTCAATGTTCATAGCAGGGTAATTTGTGTTTACAGAATTTAAATTTACAGCACTTTGGGAATACGTTCTTTTTTTTTTTTTTTTTGAGTTGGAGTCTCACCCTGTCGCCCAGACTGGAGTGCAGTGGCCGCTCCCGGCCACCGCAGCCTTGACCTGCTGGGCTCCGGCAATCCTTCCGCCTCAGCCTTCCAAGTAGCTGTGGAACTACAGGTGCGCGCTACCATGCCCGGCTAATTTTTTGATTTATTGTAGAGATGAAGTCTCACCAAGTTGCTCAGGTGGGTCTTGAACCCGCAGGCTCAGGCAATCCACTCACCTCAGCCTCCCAAGGCGTGGGATTACAGGCTGAGCCACCGAGCCCGGCTGGGAATACATTCTTAAATGATTTTTTTTCTGAGTTGGGAGTCCTAGGCTGTTATTCTAATTTTTCTTTCTTCCTCTATTATTATTAATTTATTTTTTTAAAGTTAAGGTCTCACTCTGTTGCCCAGGCTAAAGTGTAGCGGCATGATCATGTCTTATCACAGCCTTGGCCGCCTGGGCTCAGACAGTCTTTCCTCCTCAACCTCCCGAGTAGCTACTCCTTTTTTTTTTTTGAATAAGAGTCTCACACTGTCACCCAGGTTGGTGGGCAGTGGCACACTCATGGCCACTGCAGCCTTGACCTGCTGGGCTCAGGCGATCCTTATACCTCAGCTTTCCAAATAGCTGGAACTACAGGTGTCCACCACCACACCTCACCTGAGGCCAGTAGGTCTAGACTGCGGTGGCCATGACCATGCCACTGCACTCCAGCCTGGGTAATAGACTGAGACTCCGACTCAGAAAATAATAAAATAAAATAAAATAAAATAAAATAATAAAATACAGCATGTGACTAGTAACATAATGACCCGGCAATTTGGCAAGACCTTGTCTCTACAATAAATCAAAAAAATTAGCCAAGTGTGGTGTTGTGTGTCTATAGTTTCAACTACTTGGAAGACTGAGGTGGAAGGATCACCCTAGCCCATCAGGTCAAGACTGTAGTGGCCACGAGCGTGCCACTGCACATCACCATGGGCAACAGTGTGAGACTCCTACTAAAAAAAAAAGAAAAGAAAAGAAAATGGAAGTCCATTTATTCTCTCAGAAAAGTCAGAAGTGGATTATTGGAGGGGTCTGGCTTCTGTTTGTCCCCAGTGCCAATGATGCTGCCTTTTCCCAGAAAGGACTACTTTTTGCTGTCCCTTAGCTCACCGCAGCTGATGACTCTCTTACAGTTCCAGCAAATTCGCTGCTGTTGGCTTTCACAGAGCTCTGACATCAGAACTCCAAGCCATGGGCAAAACTGGCATCAAAACCTCGTGTCTCTGCCCCGTGTTTGTGAACACTGGATTCACCAAAAACCCAAGTACAAGGTGAGTTAAGATGGGACTAGGGCGTGAGAAATGGATATGAAAATTACATGAGAAATTTTTAGGCAGGCCACCTGAGAAAATAGAAAAAAATGAAAAAGGAAAATATATTTTTTCTTATTAATGTTAGTGTATTGGCTTTAAGCTTTTGCTGTGAAATTAAATGAATAAAAGTGGGGGAACACATATTAGGGACTAGCAGGAGTGACCAGTGATCAATGAATGAGGCAACTGGTCTTGATTTGTGCCCAGGAAAAGGTTCAACACACTCAGATGCTAAGAGTGCAGTGGCATATTCACAGTTCATCACAGTCTCGACATCCTGGGCTTAGGCAATCCTCCTGCTTCAGCTGGGACTACAAGCAGCTGGACTACAAGCATGCACCACCACATCCAGTTAATTTTTTTATATTGTAGAGACGAGGTTTCACTATGTTGCCCGAGCTGGTCTTGGGCACTATGTTGCCTTGAGCTGGGCTCAAGTAATCCTCCAGCCTGGGCCTCTTAAAGTTCTGGGACTAAAGGCGTGAGCCACCGTGCCCAGCCTGAGAGGTATTCTTAAGCGAGTGGGGAGAGTCTCTTCTCCTGGAAACCACACCCTCAAAATGAATGGTACCTGGCATCTCCCTCTTCCATAAGTGGTTCATTCTCCTCAAATGGAGTATGGGAAGGTATGGGTATGTGTCCTTTCATACCTTGCACAGCACTAACTAGCCACAATGCTAACATAAAGCACCCCAACCTTTTCCAGAGTCACCTGATCCTAAGAATCATGGCTATGCTTACATGAAAATAAATGTCCAAGGCCTTTCTGTAGAGATTCTGCTTTAGTAAGCTGGAATCATCTCCAAGAATGAGGTGTTTTGTTTTGTTTTATTTTATAAGCATACCAGATGAGGCTGGAAGTAGTTTGGAAAACAGTGATATATTAAATATAACCAGACTCAAGTGGTGGCATGTATCTGGAGTTTTTGGGAGGCTGAGGCAGGAGGATCACTTGAACCCAGGAGTTCAAGGCTGCAGTGATCTATTTGAATAGCCACTGTACTCTAGCCTGGGCAAAATAGAAAGACCCCCCTCTCTAAATATATATATTATATATATATATAAAATATACATATTACATATATATATTTATACACACACAGATATATATATATATATACATATATACCCACACATACTGTATATATTTGACTTGAGGTCTCACTCTGTTGTCCAAGCTGGAGTGAGTGATATGATCACAGCTCATCCCAGGCTTGACCTCCTGGGTTCAAGCGATCCTCCCACCTCAACCTCCCAAGTAGTGGGGACTACAGACATGTGCTACTGCACTTAGCTCATTTTTTTGTTTGTTTATTTATTTATTTATTTATTTATTTTGAGTTGGAGTCTCACTCTGTCACCCAGACTAGAGTGCAGTGGCATGCTCACAACTACCACAGCCTCGACCTGCTGGGCTCAGGCAATCCTTCCACCTCAGTCTTCCAAGTAGCTGTAGCTACAGGCACACACCACTACACTCAGCTAATTTTTTTGATTTATTGTAGAGACAAGGCCTTGCCAAGTTGCCCAGGCTGGCCTTGAATGCATGGGCTTCAGGCAATCCTCTTGTCTTGACCTTCCGAAGTGCTAGAATTACAGGCATAAACCACATGCCTGACTTAATTTTTTGATTTTTTTGTAGAGATGAGGTCTTGCTGTTTTGCCTAGTCTGGTCTCAAACTCCTGGACTCAAGCAATCCTCCCACCTAGGCCTCCCAAAGTGTTGGGACTATAGTCATGAGTTACTATGTCCTGCCTAAAAATATATATATAACCACATGCATTTGATCACCACTCTGTCTTTAAAAGTGCAAGTGTTCCTAGGAGTAGCAATAAATTGGGTTCCTAGCTTCTTCGTCAAGATGAATTTCTGCAAGAGCTTTGTCTCTGGTGAGAGAGGGCTTGAGATCATAAGAGAGAAGAAATTGGTCCTGACGGGAAGAAACAATGAGGACAAGTACCCTAAAGTTAAGCCATCTGTTTCACAAATTTGCCTCAGTCCTAGTATATTGAATGTATTTATAAAAAATTGCGTATTTATTCTTACATGTGTAAAATTGGTTTTATTTAGAAATCTTACTGAGGAGATAGATGGAGCCAGTGTTGCAGGATCAGCCCTTTAGAGAAGGTCCAGCAGACTGCTGTGGCAGTGGGATGTCGTGTGTTCTCTCCTGTCTTGTCACAGAGTCAGAGATTTTGTGAAATTTTGCTGGCAAGCAGAAATGAATAAACATGGCTTCTTACATGTGCCACTTTGTCTCATAGTACTTAACAAGGATGCGTTACATGAGTTAATACTGTGACATTCTTGCAACTCTTGGCTGTTTTCTTCTGTCCATTTGATGCAATACATCTATCAAGATGCTTTCTTCACTGCTCAGAACAGTTTTTGAACTCATCAATTTTGATGCCTTTTAGTGCTTCTGCTGTTTTTTGTTTCACCTCTTCCACATCAGCAAAATGTTTCCCTCTGAGAGCTTTTTTCACCCAGGGAATCAAAAAAATGTCACTCAGAGCAGGTCCAGGTGAATAGGGAGGGTGGGGGTCATGGAAGATCATGCCGTTTTTCAGTCAAAAACTGCTGAACACTCAATGTAGTGTGGCAGGTGTGCTCGTAAATCACTTATCATGAAATGGGAAAATGCGTTGAAAGAATCTCCCCCATCAAAAAAATTCACTGAAGGTGAACACAACCTCTCACAATGACACTAATGAAGATGGGTTCCTAGAACACTCACCTCCAAAAGATAATTCTGGGGTGTTTTTTTTGTTTCCCTTTCATATATTCTGCTGCAGGTTAACAAATACACTAAACCTAATGATCAAAAACCAATTTATCACTGGAATGGAATTAATTCTAAATATATTTATTTAAAAGAACTAGAAAATTCTCGTTTGCGGCATCTGACTCTTAAATTCAGTTAGCTGGGCTGTCTCTGCAGCTGGAGTCACTCCCTGTCACTGGTGTCCTCAATGACATTAGACCATATGTACTGTCAATCACATAAAAAGAAATCTTCAGCTGGGCTTGGTGGCTCAGCCTGTAATCCCGCGCCTTTGGGAGGCTGAGGTGAGTG